ATATGTTATAGTGGTCCGATTCTTCCGGTTCCGACAAATGATTAATACATTATAAAAATACACCCACCTACCAAATTTGATCCGGATATCTCGAAAACTGAGAGACTAGATTGCATACAAACAGACGGTCAGACAGACAGACGGACAGACGGACATGGCTAAATCAACTCAGCTCGACGTTCTGATCATATAAGTATACATTTTAATGGGTCTATCTCTTTGTTCTGGTGCTTACAAACATCGGACCAAAGTTATAATACCATTTCATGCTCATGAAAGGTATAAAAATAGTTGTGTGGATCCCACGCGCGATTGAAATGAAACTTCTTCTTATTACCACGTCATATTGAGTATTTTCTGCGTAATAAGAAAAATTTGTCTTAATCTCAACCTCAACCTAAATCTTAGTTAACCTTAACTTTAACCTTAACAACAACTTTTATCTTAGGGCCATTTGTTCAATGTTCGGTTACTACAAACCGGAGCTGAAAGCTGCCGTTTTTTCGTTTGGAATTAGAGCTCGCTTTTTCGTTACATCGATGTTTACATTTAGCCCCAACCGAACCCAAAGAAGTTCCACTTCGTTCCCACGACAGTCGGGTCTACGTAACCGGAACGACCCAGATTTATATCTGGCCAAGGACTGTCACTCCAGCAACACTCCCCAAAAAGTCTTTGGGGAATTTGTATGCTGCTACAACAACAACAACAAGTTTCACTTCAAAAAGTATATTTATGGGTACCACTTATAAAATTTGTACGTTGCGGGTATCTCACCTTGCAAAAACTCCTCCGTCTGACTCACGACCGTACGCTCCAACTTCAACAAACAAAAATCTATAATCGGCGTCTACCATTGCCATTAAGACAATACTGTTGTGGCTTTTATAATTAAAGTATTCGGAGCCGCTATTAGGAGGTCTTGAATCATAATATGTTTCCCGTCTAGTGCACCGCAGCAATTTGGGAAGTTCCATCTCTCTTCAAATTTGTTTGCAATGTCTAACCATTCACCGGGAGAATTTATTTATTTATTTATTTATTTTTTACAGTCTGTTAGACTTATATTGCAACAAAGATTTAACAATTAGATTTAGATTTAAAATGTTAAATATTAAATACAAAATACAAAATGCTCTACGGAAATTTTTAAATAACATTATTTCTTTATCACTGCAATTATTTTATGTCAATATAAACGCATGCAATTTTCTGGAAGTTATGTAGACGGTTGGAAAGGCTGAGTTTCCAATCCGCGCTATTCTTTTTGGGTTACTCCATTTATTGATATCTCCTGGGTGGTCGAAAAGGCCGAGTTTCCGATCCACCCAGTCGCGCTTTCGTGACGGTTGGAAAGGCCTAGTTTCCAATCCGCTCGTTTATTGTTTTTTATCTAAGGGTCTAGATAGTCGGAAAGGCCGAGTTTCCGATCCGCCTAGTCTCGATATCTTGGTGGTTGGAAAGGCCTAGTTTACAATCCACGCTATTGTTGATACATCACTATCTTGTAGGCTGCGTTCTACAATAGTCAAATAGCAGCCGCTTGAAAAGAGTGATAGTATCACAATTTTTTATAGCCTCTGGTAATTCATTGAAGCACTTTAAGCCTTTATAGAAAATATTTTTTTTGTCCACTTCTGTTCTATACTTCTGGAGTCTGAAGCTGTTATTCTCTCTCAATAAATATGTGTGCTTCTCATTTACATATATATCGGAGATTATCGCTAAGATAATCCGACACCTTAATGTAGTGGCAGTGTTTATTGATCTTAAAAGAGCATTTGAAACCGTTGATAGGGTCCGAATGTTGGATAAACTAAAATACATTGGTATAAAAAACACTGAGCTTGACTGGTTTAGAA